TGAAAGATGCTCCACTCTGTCCCACTGTATCTGTTGTATTTCCTTGACTTCAGTGGACTAATACAATGTAAACCTGCCAGAGGGACTTTTATTGGGAGAAGATGCATGTGTCCTGGGCTGGAATCCTAAGCAGCCTCTCCCTCTGTGGCATCCTTTGCCTGGTTGAGCCACACATAGTTTTGCCAGTGACTCACCACTGATAGCATTGCCAGGGACCAATCACAAGCCACATGAATGAAAGGTGTTGGCTAAAGTATTATATCCGTCTTTAGGTGAAAACAAGCAAAGAGAGAAGTGGGACATTGACAACATCTTATTGTAATTTCCACCTTTGACACTGAGAGCTTAATACCCTGTAATCTCTCACTCTGATCTCACTGTAATGCATCTCCACAAGGGCTGAAGAGCATAGTGAGAATCTGGGATGAGGAATCTCCTGACTACTACAAGCCAAGGACAGAGGATCTTGTGTTAAATGTTGCATCACACATATTATAAAAGACAAATGTGCAAACACAAACCCATTTAAGCTCATACTGCATCACTGTCAGCAGCTCTCATTTGTCTGATTGAACGGTGCTCTGCATCTATATAAACAGCTGTGCCCAGTGACGTGTATAAAATTTTCACCAAATCTTATCTTTTTGTTTTCTGTCACCACATTGTGCAACAAGTGGTCAGGAAGGGCGCATTCCTGGTGTAGACCATACCCACAATTTGTACAGACACAATAAACCTACAGAGGCAGGCTGTTTTTCATTAGGGCTTCAAAGTCCATATAAACCATGATTAATGAAGCCCTGAGATGCTGTATGTCTTTAATTATTATGACTTGACTGCTGCACCAGCGCCTCAGATGCTTTAGTAAGTTGGCAATCTGTACATGTCTGCCTGGATCATTCTGACATGGTAGCTTTGCCCCATTCTTGGAGAATTCCCCAAATGTGGGAGGAGGGCGGCAGAGGAATGATAAAAGACCCCTTTTTTGCAACGGCACATACATTTCTTTAATCACTGTACATGCACCCTTACAAATTAGTTTGGGCAGTGACAGATTGGAGAGCAGGCTGAGGATAATTACATGCAGCGGGCTGGTGTGTGTGATCAGAGCGTGGCGTTGCAGTACCTAGAGGGTTCTGTAAATAAACTCCTCATGCAATGAATGAGGATATAGTGAAGTGCATTACGCTGGGTACAATAGCCCTACCATTGTTACTATTTGGATCTCTGCTCTGGAGTAGTTGTTGATGTAGCATGACAGAAACTACAACAAGGAAGTCAATCTAGGCTTAAGCAGAAAATGCTGTAAATGAGGTCAGTTTGTATCATAAATCTGACATAAGGCACCAATTACTCAGTAATACTAGTCCTATACTATTGGGAATTAGCTTTACTCCCTGGGTGCTTTAAAGGGACCTTATCATTGGAATAATTTTTGTTTATTTAGTTATATACCCCTTAGAAATTTATAATTAATACTGTCATTATAAAACACTGGAGTTCATTTTAATCCTCACCAACACAGTAGAGACAGTACTGTGCAAACCATGGTTTAATATTACAGCATCAGACTGTTTTTCCACAAATATTATTGTTCTTATATTGAATTACAATATGTCTATACCACCATCAAGTTTAATAAAATTTTTTATGGTGATTTAAATTAAAAACAAGAAAAGTTTGCAGCCAGCAGCTTTGTGCGGTTGAGCCACCGTGGTGCTTCGATGCTTACATCAGCATGGTAACAAAACGAGGTTAACACGGTGATGTTTTATTAATCTCTATTCTGCATGTTTAGGCAATGGGACATAGAAGCAAAGAGCAAAGAGGAAGTTAATTTGTATAATCCTCATTTAGTGCAGCTGCTTTATGTTTCATAGTCATAGACAATCAGTGAGCACTAACATACTAGTCCTACCCATCCTAGCCCTCACTCACATAGATGTACACACAGATAGAAAACAGAAGCCATGTTTGTGTTGGGCACGCTCCCACAGCACATAGGATGATGGATTATGGACTGTTCCTGTTTATTTATGCTATGCTGGGTAGGGAAATATGGACAAAGACCTCATGCATACAACCTGTGTATTGCAAATACTACAGTCAGCCGTAAAATAAGATTGCATATTATGAATGAGCAATGGGTTCACACATATACACATGCATGAGGAATGCTAGGCTGCAATCAAACACACACAAAGCTTGGCTTGATTAACCCGACCGGGGGGAACCCGACATGTTTTTCCTTTTACGTCATGGCTGGTTCCCCGAGTGGCTCTGTGGAAACCATCAATTCTAGTTTGTCTGCAGTTTGTCTGTTTGAATTTTTTGCTAATCTGTATTATTCAGTGATGGCCTGCTGGCCTTGTACAGGAAGCGCTGAGTGAAGCCCGTTGTGGTATTTTTTCACTCAGAAATCATCGATCACGTTTTCTTTTTCTACCACAAAACACTTCACCACTTTCCTGTGCCTTTAAGAATGAAAGTTTCTGTTGTTTTGAAGTTGTATAAAAATGTTTCATTTCACCATAAATTTAGTTTTGAATGTAAGAGCTAAAGAAGGGGAGGATTATCAGCATGAGCCATGAAAACAGCCAGCTTGTGCACAAAGCATATGGGATTGTGTGACTAGAGAGGACAAATATTTTTTCTCTCATGCAGCCACTTTCTGAGCTGCAGCTTATCTCCTCTTGACAACTTTCTGTTTCTCTCAGTATCACAAGGAGTTTGAGTGGAGGAAAAGATGCTATGCTTGATTATAACAAGAGGTCAGGTCTTTGATGCTGGTATGGTAAAATTTGTTATACGTTAAGCCAGTGCAAATGTGATTACAGACACTGATCCATTAAATCTACTGTTAAAATGCAGCCTGCACTAGTTTTGAACTCGATACTGAGGAGAAATGTGAGAGGTACTGTGAAGCATTAAAGACGCTTTGATGTAATATTTAACCCATCTGCAAACGGAGGGAGATGTTCATAAAACGCATGTTAGGCCAGAGGAAGAGGGACAGACTGGTGTGAGAAATGGATGTTTCTCTCCGGCCTCTTGCAGTGTCATTGCATTGTGGGCATAAAAAAGGAGCAAGTGTGCATAGCGATTACCTTGGATGAAGGTTTATCAAGGCAGTAAAATCTGGATGTGTGGCTGCAATATGCTTTGGAAATCCCCCATCTACCAAGATCAGCCCGAGTCTCAGTCTAGCACCTCACTCCTCACACCTTTTTAGGCTGATTATTTTACTCC